TTTGCTCCTTGTCAGCAGCAGATCCCACAAAGCATTTGAAGGTGCAAGAAAAATTAACCAAAACGGGAAGCACAAAGATATTTAATGTATATGATGACAAATTTCCTCAACTGATTTTTCCCTCACTGTACTGTTTGAAATACTGACTGAATTGAATAGAGGTTTTGGCATCAAAGTCCTTTATTTTTAGCATATAATAGGCCATCTTTAGAGATCTCACTTGCCAATGAGCAACATATGACACTCACTGCTAATACCTTGACCATTTTTAAATGTGAAGTCAACAAATTGAAACCCAGCTTTGGGAAGGGAGGTTTTTGGTGACTAAACAATGTTTTCTGGAAAAAAAAAAGGTTTGCACCAGGAACTGAGACAACTAGCAAGCTTCATTTTTTATATTAGATTTTCTCAATATTTGATGAAACCAGTGCAAGGATATATGTATATATGTGTTTATAGTTAGACATATAGACTACACACACATACACCACACACACACACACACACACACACACCCCACACACTCAGAGGTGTGCATGCATACATACCCACACACGCAGCACACAAATGAATATATAGTCTATTTTTGTTTTGAGGGTAAATGAGAAACTCAGAAAATTAAGTATCCCATCTATTCATCATAGGTAATACATCCTTAAATAAGGAAACCATAATGTGTTACATCCATTATCATTTTGCTTTTCATAAGCATGTAAGCTATTCATAATCAATTGTTATACCTCTCATTATCTATTCTAGCAAATGAACTAATAATACAAAAACTTCAAATAGATAATTTGTCAAAAATTGTCATATTTTCAGATAGGCCAGGTAGAAGAGCAATTTGTAGACTAGACTTTATATATTCAATGCATCATGGCTTTCTTTATTTTGTTTAGAAGGGCTCTAAAATCATCTAGTTCTGTCACTAAAAGTAGTATGTCTTCAACTACTATTTACTAAGCAACTAAAAAGGGCCAACCATTATTCTAGAGGATGAGTGTAGAGGCATATACAAAACAGACAAAAAAATCCAAGTTCTTATGTAACTAATCATATTGGAGGAGATATATTAAATAAAATTAAAAAGTATTTGAAGATGGTAAATACTACAAAAAAAAAAATGAAGTGAGGGAGGGGAATAGGAATTGCCAGGGGAGAGAACATTGTGGATTGAATTAGGAAGATCAGGTAAAATATCATTGAGTTCACTGAGTATTGCAAAAAAGAAAGACTTAAACTTGTAGAAGAGATATCCATGTCAATATGTGGAGGTTATGTGTTCAGGCAGAGGCATAAATTAGGCCAGTATGACTGCCCTGGAATGAGAAAAGGTAACAATTTTGGTAGAGGAGGCCAGGAAAGAAATGGATGGGGAGAAGGAGATGACTGCATTTGGATTTACAAGAAGGCAGGACTACATTTTCCTTTGGGGAAGTGGCAAACCATTGGAGGATTTTCAGCAAAAGAGTGATGTGATCTGACTTATAGGTTATCAGGACCACACAGCAGACAAAATAGTTTGCAGGTAAAGCAAAGGCCAAAGTAGGCAGGTCAGCTTAAAATGCTATTTCAACAATCTAGACCAGAAAGAATGGCAGTGACAAAGGAAATAGTAAGAAGTGAGTAGATTGTAGATATAGATCTGGTCAAGTTAGTCCTGGTATATTTTTCTGATCTACAACTTGCAAAAAAGGGGTAGATTAAGCTTGACTCCGAAGTGCTTAACTAGGGCAACTGAAAGAATGTGGTTGATACAGAAATATAAAGCATTGTTGATGAAGCAGATTTGGAGCTTGGTCCATTCAATTTTGAACAGGTAAAATTTAAATTGACTAGAGAGTGTGTAGATAGTTATATTAAAAAGTTTGGCTCAGTGGTAGAACACTTGTCTAGCATGCGTGAGGCACTGGGTTAAATATAAATAAATAAGTAAATGAATAAAATAAAGATCCATCAGCATCTTTAAAAACAATTTTTTAAAAGTTTGGACTATACTAAAAAGGTTGCGTTGGGATAATCATTTGAGAGGCATCAATTTATGGACAATATTTAATGTCATGATATAATTTAAGAAATGAATGTAATCTAGGAACTGAACCCCACTTAGTGTGATACTAGGAATTTGGATTAATAAGAATATGAAAATGAAAAGTAAACCATAAGCTAGAAATTCAAAAGGTAAACCAAGAATGTGTAGTACCTTAGAAACCAAAGAGGAGGGAGTAAATGTATGTTGCATAACTCCTAAATTTATTTAGGTGGCTTAGGTAGTTCATATAAAGAAATTCAAATAGTAACTAGCAAATTGTGAATACTAATGAACATTAGCTAAATATTAATAGAAGAAATTATGTGCCCTTTAGTATTCCAAATAATACATATCATGTTTATGGTTGTCATATTTGTGGTAAAATTAGTTGGCAATCCTTACCAATATGATATTAAGCATATTAAAAAGGGTAGCATTAAAGGATTAAGAATAAGGGCTATGGAACCAAAAATATTCCTGTACCACTCAAACTCCTTTCTATATTTTGTAAGGAAAATTAAATGTGTTACTTACCTGTGCACAGACCTTAGGGGCCTCACCCATGGTTAAATTCTCAATAACGCTGGCTACTATGCCAAGTAAAACAAACTTAAGAAGGAATGCTTTGTATACTCAATCAAAAACACTAAAATAAGTAAATATTGGTTATTCATGTGTTATAAACTGTGTTTTAGTCACTTTCTTAGACAAGAATGTATATGAAGAAGAATAAAACATCTGCCCTCAAAGAAATTATAGTCCCATGGAGGAACTATATAGGTGTATGCCCAAGAAGAAAGGAAAGCTTAGAAAGGGGAAAACAGACATTACTGAGAACTAGGAATTTTTTTTTATCATGAATGATTTCCCAAAACAAAGATTTTTGAGGAAATCTAGCAAGATGAATCAAAATTTGCCAGACAAGGAAAGAAAACAATGAGGGTTTGGGATGGTTATCAGGCAGAAGAAGAATTTGTTCAAAGACATAAAACTATGTAAGACAACACTGAGTGCATATGTGCCGGGGGTGGGGGAAGAATATCACAAGAATCAATATAGCTAGAGGATATAATTTGTTTTGCATATTATATAAATTGAGGGTAGGATAAAAATAATAATACATATCATAAAATATGTATGCTTTGCAAAGTAAAATTTCCTTTAAAATATATTTTGTAATACATTTTGACATTTATAAAATAGTTTATGTTTTATAATATAGAGGAAGCAACTAAACACACATAAGTACAAAAACCAGTATGATTTCCTATCCTTATAATACCAAGACAAAGCAAAGACCACCTAGCTTCATGCCCTGGGAAATACCTACACTTAGAATGAAGGTTGTGAACCAACGTAACTATTAATTTTGTGGGGATTGTTTCTTCATTTCAAGACCATTCTTATCAGTTTAAAAACTATCATGTCAAATCTTTTATCCTATAGTAAACAGCTTCCTTCTTTGTAAAACCTGGATAACCAATCACCCAGCCAAGCTCTGTAGGATCCCTTTTCCAATTTTTTTCACATTAACACATGGACAAGACCTTGTCAAGTTAGTAGTTTCCCTAAGGTAGTATGTCTAATACACTTAACACTGCTTGATCAGTAGGGCTTTTCTGGTGATAATTTTAGAGAACTGACAGTCAATTCATGAAAACAGTAATATAATTTTAATTTTTTTTTCTTTAAAGATCACTCTGGATATAGTGTGGATGGTCTCTGGAAGAGTGGCAGCAGCAAGACCAATTAGGAGACCAGTGAAGTACAAAAGGTAATAGTGCCTGACCCATGACCCTCAAGGGTGTTTAAAACAATGAACTGATGAGTTATGTTGGGGGCTTAGAAAACAGTAGGAATGGTGGCAGAAGGGACATGGTGAATTTATGATATATTTGTCCTCATAATCTATTGGATTTGGTGACTTTAAATACAAAGAAAAGAGAGTGTTGTTGAAAATGCCTTCTAGATTTTTGTTTTAGATAATTGGTAAAAGGAGGCATAAAAGCAAGGATAAAGTAATATTTTGTGGGGCATTGATTTCAAAGTAGTAAGACTGCATTTCAGACAACTTTATTACTAACTCAATTTTTTTTTGTTAGTTCTGTGGGATATGAGAAAGACTCAAAAGACTAAGAAATATATTAAGCAACACCAACAAACACACACTAGTACCATATTCAATCATATTACTTCATAGGATTTTAAGTGCCACTTTATTTCTATGGGAGGAATATGGATAGGATATTATTGTCATCGAATACTATACAGAAGATCCTTGATTTATTATAGGACCACAAAGTGAAAACAATGTAAATCAAAATTGCATTTTCTATATTTAACCTATCAAATGTCCTATCCCAGCAATACAGTACACTGTTAAATATTAGTTGTAGATTATCACAGTGTGGCTGACTGGAAGCTGCAGCTCTCTGATGCTGTCCAGGAATTTGAGAACATGTCAACTACATATAATTAGCTTGGAAAAAGACCTTTATTCAAAATCTTTTTTTTCAGGGAATAGCAAATGCATTTTTATTCAATATTTTAAAAATACAGACTTTATGGCAAATTATAAATTTCTAGTATAATAATAAGTTGATATTTTACACCAAGAAAACAATATGATCAAAAATTCATTCACAAATACAAAGCAGTATGCTTTTGTTTTTATATTATACATACACACACACACATACACACACACACACACATATATATATATAATCAACTATATAACTTAGTTTTGTCTAAGTTTTCTCCATTAAAAACAAGTTCTTTCAGATAATCCAATTTAATAATCTTGTGCTTTTCTTCAGTGATTTTTTTCTCCAAATAGAGGTAGAAGTACTCTTTGATGGACAGAATGCAGTAAACTGTTCTTGGCGCTAAGGAAGCCTAACTTGTAAAGCACGTCCAATTCGGAAAGTAACAATGTGATAGTAATTAATAACAGTACTGAATGCTATTAAAAATTGACAACTTTAGGTATTTTTATTTTGGGTTTCTTTGGTTTTGGTACATCCAAAATTTCTTCATAGTCTGCACTCATCCCTTTTGCCCAGCGACCAACTGTGACCATTCGATCTGAATTATGACTTTCAAGGCAATCTTTCTTAAAGTGTTCCACAAAACCACAAAGTTTGCAACCACCACCATCAACATAGAATCCTTTGTGATTATCAGGACATGAATGGGACAGATGCCCCATTTCCCCACAAACAAAACATTTTGCAAAAGGAAATTCACCAAGAGCTGGGTCTACTTTAGCYTTGCACTTGGTTATTTCATGCTCTGTGGACCCACATCAATAACATATTCCAGTGCCCATATCTTGATTTACAAGGGCAGCTGGGCAATCTGCAATTCCCTGGTCAGGTTTTCTATAGTGGAAACATACCATTGCGTTTTTCTTTGCTGCTTGTCTTTTTAATCGTCTTCCTTCCCATGGACTGTCTTTCTTTAAAGCAACTGCAATTTCTTCCCTTACTTCCTGGCTGTCCATTGCTATCATCTCCCCATTGTGAACCATCTGTGAGTTCTGTTTTAGGTATTCCATGAATCCATTCACATCTTAATTTAAGTATTCTTTCTTCCTTTTGTTCTTTTTATGTTTTGCTTGGCGTGCAACATTTTTAAGGGACAGTCTATTGGCTTCAGGTTGTTTACGATTTGGTAGATTTGGGCTTGTTCCCTCCAAGGACCCCTTCTTCATGTCCTCCCATGATGTTGCAGGCAAGGGCCTCTTTTTATGTGTGGTAGTAACTTCTGCCCACCTGGTCATGTTGCATCAGAGGTACCTTATCAGTCACTTTACACGCGCTCCTGCCGAAGATTTTGCACCTGGCAAGAGCTGCTGGAGCTGTTCCCCAGAGTACATGGGAAGGAAGCGCTCTGGGTATCAAGGGGGTGAAGTGGGAGAGCCCAGCCTGGAGGGGTCCAAGGCGGCCAGCGCCCCAACAGCTGAGGCCGATTCCAGGGCCGGCACCCTGGCAGGCCACACAACTTTGTTGTTGCGCTCCACTGGAAGCAGGGAGCTCTCAGGGGTCCAGCAGCCAGTTCCTCTGTCCTCCCGTGTTTCCATATAGGTCTGGCCAGATCCGGGAAAATCAACAGGAGGTTCCCTAGGACATCAAGGGACCCAACATCAAGGGACCTGCGATCTCATTCCAGGCGCGCCATGCACACTTTCTTACAGCACGTGAATCTGGATATCACTTTTGCACCACTGAAAAGTTGAAGAATCATAGTCAAACCATCAAGTCAGCCCTTGCCTATATATTTTAGTTCACTGTTACTGTAAATTTTAGATGGACATTCTGAAGTTGATAATTATTTCTGTGATAGAAAAAATGAAATCTAGGATATTGGTCTTTCTCCTATTCAGCTCTTTGATACTGGGTTTGCTATACCTTTGCTTCAAGTATTTCACTTTTTCCTGCCTTTTTGCTTTTTTTTTCCTACTATTTTCTACTATGTCACATGATGGAAAATGAAATCATACTTCAAAGGGCTACTTATAAATATGGTTAAAGGATGTACTTTACAGCTCAGATTATAAATGTGAATTTGACGAATTTCAGATGTCTGGTCTTATTTGTCAAAATCATGCTATACTTTTCCATCATACTTAATTATAAACATCCACAATACATGCATTCATATATTCATATGCATTTCAGCTTTGTGGATGGCAAGTCAAAACTATTTTCCTTTACCTTAGTTTAAGAAATGTAAATGCTAGCTAGCAAAATTCAATGTTTACTGCCATTTTTTTAGATAGGAAAGTCTGTTGCATTATTTAACTATGGGAAATCATATTTTTAAGATGGTCTATTTCTAGATTTGGCTTGAAGTATTCCATCACTGCTCTACATTATTCACAGGGAGTTGTAGAAGGTGCTAAAACCGGGCATCAGGGGACAGAACCCTAGTGATCAGCAGGCTTTTTTTTAATGAATAATAGAATTCCAGCAACAAATGTTTTAAAACAAAGTGCTGCCTGATCCTTATTTTATCATGTTTTATGAAGTCAAGTCATGTTAAAATGTTCTAACTATGTCATGGTCTGTACTCTCTGCCCTGTGCCATCTTGCTCTCTGACAAAACTTGAATTTGAAAGATTATTTTTTAATAAAGGGAAGGAAATGCACTGGGACTTAAAGGCATTCCAGGGGATTAAGTAGAAATCAATATTAATAAAAAATAACTTGCTAAAAATAGAATTGCATTGGATAAGTATTAATGGGAAAAAAAACTTGTTTTGAAAATACATGGTGAATGTTCAGAGAGATTTTCATTTGCCTCTTTTGTCCAGAAAAATCAACATTTATAGATTCATACCATATATTATATATAGAACATAGTATAGTATATACCATGTGTCACAAATTCCTATAGTGTACTAGTATATGTATCAAAATTCTTAAAATTCTTCCAATCTAAGACACATCTTCCTAATTCTACCACCCTTCAGTTTACAATCCCACCACTTTCATACATTCAACAAAAAACTTCTGAGTAGTTTACTCCACTTTTCTGCTTCCAAATGGCCATGATGCCTCTTTAATTGTATGCATTCTTTCTTATTTACCAACTTTCTGATAAAACAGCCCTCTCAAAACACAGAACTCTGATTCTAAAATCAGATTCAGATGTCCCTCCTCCATCTTTACCCTCCTCAATTCCTTTGCAAATTTTGACACTGTTGAATATAATTGTTTTCTTCAAAATATTTTTTTTAAATCTTCTGTATAATATTTTCCTGGATAAGTTCTTAAATCATATCTAGGTGACCCCCACTCTGGGTTCCTGCATATATACCTATCAATACATATATCAATACATATTTCAGATGAGATATTATCTCAACCAAAATCTTTTGTCCTTGAATATCTTCAAGAGTTACCATGCTTTCCTCTTTGTGACATCTCTTATATTCTTAGAAATTACTCAGCAATCTCCAAACATCCCAGCCCCTAGACTATATCTACATCATTGGTCTTAACTGATCTGCTAAGAATAAATCCTAGTTTCCAAATATATTTGGACAGCTTCACCTCAAGGTAGTATTGGAACTTCTACATTAGTAGGGCACTTTCCATCATTCATAATGCCAAAATGTTTCTATATATAGCTCCTTAAGTCCCGGGATTGAAACATGTAGCTCAATATGCAAACCTGTCAATAACCTTTTCTTGCCTACTAGATAAAATGCATACCCCTTAATATGGTAGACAACATCTCTACAATTTGCCCTCAACTTTCCTTTCCAGCTGTTTTTCTTCCTCTTGCCTTCCCACCTGCCCCATCTTAAATAATACAGAGCACTCATATTTCTATGTCTTTCTCATTGAGTTCCACAAACTGTGATGATCTTTCTATGGGAAGAGTCCTCCTATGGAAGACATACTTGATTATTAGGGCTCATCATTCAGTTATGCTTTGCACCACCTGCTAGGTCAATCTTCACAAAGCTAGGTTTGTGTTCCCAGAGGATTTGTATGAATATCTATTTTACTACTTAATTCTATTGGGCCTCAAGACAGTGTTCATTGTGTTTGTCTCCTCTTCTAGTCCATAAAGACTGTGAGGAAAACTCAAATAAATCCTAGTAGTTAACACAAATTAGATGAATAATAAATATTGATAGATTGAGCCACCAGCATTTGATGACCACATATGACATTATTATGTAAATTTAAAAGATATGAGGATAAATTAAAAGTAATTTTAATAGAAAGGATAATACTCATTTTACAATCCTAGGTTTAGGAATCCAAAATAACTATATACCATTTTGCTCTGCCACTTACTAGTCTCATGGTCTTTAGCAAATCTTTTAACTTAATCTGTAAAGTGAGAAGACTGATTGAAGGTAAACATCACAGATACTGTCTTTGAAGCAATTGTCACATGATCTTACCATTCAGTATGTCCATAATGAATGCTAACAAAATTATTATTAAAAAGCACTCGACAGTAATAATGTGTAGGATATAATTTTGATAACCTTGGTCCAATTTAAATTTCAAGAAAGTAAGATAAAACCACCCATTGAGAAGTGGTAAAGTCATTTATAAAAGCCAAACACCTTTAATTTTCAGTAAGCATTCTTCAAGAAAACTTGTTAGAATTTTCTGCTTCAAATGACTTATAATAAAAGTTGCAAAACCACAGCCTCTTCTGCTACTGCAGTGGTGAACACTACATTAATTTGAACAGATTCATTCAAGGCCAAAAGTATTATATTGTTAAGATAAGTATGTCCTGGTAAATAGCAAAGATGTGCGTGGGAAAGTGAGAAAATAATGTATATACAGCACATTCTCCAGGTTTTACATAGGTTGTCTTGATTTAACCCAAATAAAGGATTTCAAAGATCTGTGAGTGTGGATGATTCATATTTGGAAATAGTTTAAGAAAGTCTCCTTAGCAACACTTTGTTAGGAATAAATAACTACTATCCCAGTGTCAAAACTACTCATGGCTAAGAAATTTGTCTCTCTCCCTGGCTCTTTCTGAAATTGGGCCTAGTATTTATATAATGTTCTAAATGATATGTGCTTTTCCATTGTTCTATGAATTATGTCTGGCACAGGAACATTTAACAATTATCAGATATCATTATTTTCATCAATTTCTTATTCTAATTAACCATGAATTTCATTTTAAATTTATGATCCTACACACAAAAATTGTACTAAGTTCTCACCTATCTTCAAAATTGACCATATGTACATATGTTGCATAAGTATATCTTACATAAATTACTTATTTTAAAACAGAAAAATTAAATCATAATCATGACATTATTAGTGTTAACAAATATAGAGTGCTTGACAATTTCTAGAGATGATTTTTTGGTTTCTGATACAGATACCATCATATTAAGATACTATCTGCTAATTACTCTTTTTTACTAAAATATAGAAGCTAATAAAATGTATTTAGAAACATGGTAAATCATACATTAGGTTGACATGAGAAGTCCCAGTATTCTTGTATTTTACACAAAGCACTCTATTCAGATAAATCTGTCATATTATTAAACTCTCATTCCTTTTAGTAAATTCTATGACAAATATTGAAGGCAAGGTATCTAGGGGGAAAAATTAAAATGGCAAACATAATAACAATCCAAATTATGAAAATGTATATGTATACCTCTCATATGCTTATGCTTTATACAAGCTTTTATATAAATAAGTATATAAATAAGGTGAGTTCCTGTATCATTTTTTTTCCTAAAAAAAAATCAGTGTCTTCCTATGATAAAATAAAAATGAAAAAAAGAAAGATGTGATGATATTGGAAATAAGCATATCCTGAGAGCAAATCTGCCATTGTTTTATGACATATATTTATTTATATCTATCTACCTACCTACCTACAGAAACCTAGCATAGCATTCTTTTTAAACAGGTACTCAATAAATGTTTACTAAATGTTGAATACATTTAGCTCTGGGATGGATTCTAAACTATTGCTCTAGAAATACTTTGCTTATTACTAATTACTTGACCTAAACTAAGCATGACTTTGGTGAGGGGCAGTCTCTTTAGAAAGAATCAACCTAAGTTTTATATTAGCTAAAATATTTAGTGGATATAAATGTATTTTACAAGAAAAAGTAAAACATTTCTCTAATTAATGAAATATTTTACTTTTATAAATTTGTAAATGTATTTATGTATATATTGAAATGCCCATGTATATGCACAGGCACACACATACCAAAGTAAGTATACATGATATATTTTATTCCATTAAAGATTATGCAATTAAATATGTAAAAACACTGAAATCATTCAGGTATTACCATAAGTTATGCAATTTATCTCAAATTCTGTAGCTGTTTTGTGGCTAGGGTGAAATTACTCTCAACCCTAATCCAACCATAAGCCTTGACAGGTTTAAGTGATTCCCTGTCACCATGATGGGTTTAGAGACCTATAATATAAACTTATGTGCATGACTTTCTGTTGATGACAATATAATAACCACAGACATAACCTAACATGTTTCAAACAGAAGAGTTTCCAGACTTTTTCCATTATTGTGGGAAAAAAGTAATTAGTTTATCTTGAATGTAAATGAAAAAAGAACACCACAGATTATGTTGCTATCATTAGAAGATCACTGGGGAAATATAACTACTTGAAAGACTTAGTGAAAAGAGGATAGAACCAAGAGAATCACTGAGAAGTGAA